TCTGCAATCAGTTGAGAAAGATTGAGACATATTAATCAATACTAAGCATAGCTTTTTGTTGCAGTCTTATTATCAAAATATTTTGACATCGTTTTCAGGCATCCAGTTTTGAATATTACAGATTAATTACGCATTTTCATTTATCTGAGAATCATAACAATTTTCCTCCTGAGTTTGCCTCCTCTTCTTTTCAGTGCTGTACTGTTGAGCTCTGCAATTTGCTCAATTGTTTTATGCCAAACCATGGTGAATGGTGTCCTGTTATGCTGTCTTCAAGAAACACTTACATTGTTATGCTATAAACATTTTTTTCCAATTCCTCTCTCCTGTCTGCAGACACAAGATGAGAATTTGTCTAGCCTCCTTGAAGTGGTTCCCTCATTTTACTGTCACTGCTGCCCTGCGTTTATCACCTGTCTATTCTCTCACTCCTAACCCTTTCTTCCTCTATTTCTTTGTCAGCCAGCCTTGGCCCAGCTGCTGTTATACATATATATATACATATATATATATATATATATATATATATATATATAATTTTTTTTTTTAATGTGATATAGAGTTGATTGCAAGAGGACTGTTTCATAAAAAAATTCTCAGGCAACATTTTTTCTCTCAGGCTGCATGTGAAATCCCACCTCATTTGTCCTGACTGGCAGAGCCAAACCCCAAATGTGGCCATAGCTCCACACATAAGTGTCTGTATCCTGAAAGTATACATAACATATTGATTTTAGCAGTTCATTGGGGCACTACAGAGCCTGGGAGTAAGTGCTACTTGAAATGCTCAGTTTACAGGATCCATTTTTTATTTTTTATTTTTTTGTAGGGGTGGGTGAGAGTGCCACTGAGTGATCAGAAATGAAATCACCTAAAGATGCAGGAGGACTGATGGAAATGTCCTCATTGGCCCTTCTGGGAATATGTAATCATGATCATACAGCAATAAAAACAAAATAAACAATGCTATTACTTGGATACGCTTACAATATTGTCCAGATTTAGCAATAGATCCATATAATTATCCATAACTGCACAAATGGCTGCCAATTAACGTCACTTCCCCTCATATTTTTATATATTTTTTTCTTTAAATAAAAGGCAATGAATAAAACCTGTCCCATTGATTTTACTGAGTATTACTGATTTGCTCCTATGAGTGTATGTAAATAGGCTTAAGAAAAAAGCCCAAAAGGTATTTTGAAGTTTTATTCTCAATTCCGAATTGAAATTCAAGTGAAATTTAAACACGTGTCAGTTTTATTGGAAACTCATGCAAAACTAAATGCAGCTAAATTCCTGAATAAAACATGTGCAATAATTTATTATGTCAGCGATCTTAAGCAATCCTTGGGTTTATCTTGACAAGTCTGACTGTGATGAAAGAACTGTCATAATTGCACACATTTTCTGTAAACGAATCATTGCACCTAATGGCTCTTAATTGTTTCTGAAATTCTTAATAGGTGCCAGACTCTGGGAATCTCTTCATTATCACAGTTGGCAATGGTGTCATTATTTTGTGAGTTAGCAGTAACAGTAAAAGGAAAGAGGTGTAGACAGTTCATGGATGAGCTCCCATGAGTCAACATTAACAGGTTCCTCAGATAAATGCTGTTAAGAAGTAATTAATCGTGCATATGACTTAGGAGACCAAGCAACGTAAACTGAAATTGCTTCAAGGATTTATCCTCCTACTGGGTTCCATGCAATGATGAAATTAAATCTGCTGATTGGAAGCGGGATCTCCATGCGCACTAGCAGGTGCACGATTTCCAGTCGAGTCTGTCGGCTCTAATAGCCAGTGTGGCAGCTGAATTCCTCACTACATTCATGCGTAGCGACATATATTAAAACAAAGACAGCAACTCTCAGAGACAGTACCAATGACCCTGTTAGACTGTAAACACACTTCTGTCTATGTAGACAATTACATCATTTGTTCCATGTGTGAGTTTTTATTGAGCAGCACTGACGTACATCTCTTAAGATCGTGGCAGGAAGTACAGTCCGGTGGGCAAGAGAATATATACAAAAGGAAAAAAAGCAGACACTCTGTCGCCAGCAGGAAGGGGAATATTTTAACCCGTAAGAGATGGCTCATCTTGCTATGGGCACTTGTTCCCATAGCAACAGGAGCTGGGAGTTTCATCAGGTTGGCTGGTTAGAAATAGGGGATCACGGGACATAAGAGGGGTCAGCACAGGGCGTGCAACCTAGTAGCCACCATCGTCAACCTTCTTTCCTTCACACTTGAACTCTCAAGTACAAGCCTGAGTAAACCCTTGTATTCATTCATTCATTCATTCATAAATAAATGCACAGGGAAACATCAGCTAGCCTGCAATTACTACAATTACTGCATTTTCAAGGTAAATAAAATGATTTACCATATCTGAGCAGTAATACACTATATTCCTTTTTGCTAGATAAAGCAACTATACACTGTCTTATATTTATTTATTTAAATTTAAACCGTCTTTATGTGGACGCTAACTTTAACTACCAGGCCCATAAACGGTAAATACAGTTAGGTTCGTTTGGAAACTTGTAATTTTGCTTCCACCATTATGGCTTTTAAATCAAACTTTCAGGATCTGATTGAAGTGTAGACCTTCAGCTTTAATTCAAGGGGTTTAATAAAATTGTCGTGTTAACCGCTTAAGAATTACAGACATTTTTATGCATAGTCCCGTATTTTCAGAGGCTCAAAGGTAATTGCAAAATTGACTGACAAGCAGTTTCATGGCTAAGTGAAGCCTGTTCCCTTATTATTCCATGACAAATTAAGCTCTTTATCAGCCTGTTTCCTTTGCCTTGAGAAACTCTTGGGTTGCTTTTAGAATGTGCCTTGGGTCATTAACCATATCTGCTGTGAAGCAAAGTCTGATCAGTTTTGCAGCTATATCTGAAAAGAGAGTATAGTCCTGTACACTTCAAAATTACCCTGCTACTTCAGTCATATCATCAATAAATGCTAGTCATCAGCTTCCACTACCAGCCATACATAACATAACATGGTCTTCGCCAGTTTTGACAGAAAACGTGATATGCTTTAAATCAGGAGTTGTTTCTCTCTCTCCTTTTTTCTTCCCATCAGCCTGATACAAGTTAAAAATGGTTTCAGCTATCCAAAGTTTTTCCAGAACTATGTAGGCTCTTTAAGATGTTTTCTGGAAAAGTCTTCTTCTAAACCTTGTATATTTCCATTCATGTGCATGTTTTAGTTGTAGTCTTTGACACTAAAAGACCTCCATGCTCCAGAATATGCTTCACTTGGCTCAATGTTTTGAGCGAATTTCCTTAACCATAGAAAGAATTCTGTGATCCTCCACTTTAATTGTCTTCTGGGTATTCTAGACTTTAGTGTAACTGTGCTGCCAGGTGCATTTATTCTTTTTATGATTATATTGATTTGGCCACTCCTAACATTTTACTCTCTCACTGTGATAGGCTTATCTGAGCAGCTGGATAGAGTAGTGGTAAGACAAATGATAAAGCTTATTTGTTGTTTTGTTGGGGTTTTCAGTCTCCTTCACTTGGATTGACATCTTATTGGACCTCATATCATATAAATTAAGAATTCCAGGGGACAGATACAAAATACAAGTTCAACACTTGGAATAAACTCCCGAATCTTTTATCTTCTTGATTTGTCTTGTAATAATCAGGGAACAGGTCTCACCAGGCCATTAAACTGCTTGCCAGTCGATTTAGTTTTGGGCCTCTGAAATTGGAGGACTGTGCATAGGAACAGCTCATGAGTAAGAAGTGAAGAAGTGACTCAGAAACTGAGAACACTGCATGCTCATGTAGTAGCACCTTGTCAAAGTTAAGAAAACATGCCTGACAGCATACACTACTTTATTGCCTGTTTTAGTCTAGGCTTTAAACTGTTTCTGAGAAACTCATTAGGAAACTGTTTACTGAGGTCATAGACTAAGTGAGCAGATGGGTTGTTTTCTCAAATGTACTTTTTCACTTCAGCTCTGCACATTGTTGGGAGAATCAAGTTTGGGCACTATCCAAAGTTACCCTTTTCACGTGTAGCACAAAAAAGGAGATTGGTTTTATTAAACATGGACTGAATGTGATTCACTGGACAGTTATCTGAGCTATTCTCCCCTCATCAAAGGGACTTTGTACTATGGAGCACACACATTAAAGACTTTTTAACGTTTGTGTCAACTGTGTCGGACATTTGCATTTGCATTTACATTCACCCACGCTGGGAAATACCTAGAAAAGTTCAGGGCTGTAGAATTTGTTTTGTACCAAGAAGATACACCCCCTGCTGGCCATGAGAAAGAATCAAGGTTTAAGGAATTCCTGGAATGGGTTCATTTTTCAGCCTCAGAGGCTACGTCCATCATTCAAATACAACTTATAACAAGATCTCAAATCAAATTTTAATAATCTATAATAATCTGTTTCCTACCCTACTTAAACACACAATTCATCCTGACACACTTTTATAACACACTAATTCTCAAATGTGATTAAACCATCTATCCTGTCTTCTCTCAGACACCAGTCTTTACTCTTTTAAACTGAAATTTCAATCACGAGTCTGATAGACCACCTACTCACCCCCTGTGCATCCCTCATAGCTGGAGCTTTGACACATGAAAGAGCAGGCTCGGTAAACCCTGACATTTCACTTCACCTGCTTCACAAGAAACTTCACTGGAGTATTGTGAAAAAAACCCACTGCTGATATTTCACTGTAAACAAGGCACAATGCTGTTGCTGTGTTCCAAACATTCATTCATATCGTGACAGTGTGATACCTGTCTATATTTCAACAGAGGAATGACAGCTGGAAGCAGAAAGACCCCTAATCCTCTAGAACAAGCAAACAGATTTCAGTGGATGTGTGTAGATGCGTGTATTTGTGTGAGAACACGGGATATTATCTGTCACCTGGGCAACAGGTGTACACTGAACACAGACACGTTCAAGCACTTTGGCTGTTTTTACGGGTGTCTGTGGAGACTCACTCTTGACAGTAGCAGTCCTGGTGCAGTTGTACAGAATAGCCAGCTCTCCAAACACCTTTCCTGGCCCCATGGTGCAGAGCTTCAGGCTCTCCTTCGTCACCTCCACCTTCCCATCTGAAACATGCACAAAAATGGAAATAAACCATTAGTAACAATGATATTCAAATTTGACACTTATTTTCTTGCCTGACTACCCAAATCTGTAAGTCCAATACTACATTAAATATGTGCTGCAAATAGCGATTCAGTGATGAAATGGAGTGGCTGATAGATGTCTAAGGGTTTTTATCACATTTTTTAGGGGCAACCAGGCTGAATGCTCACTCGGCTAGAAAAAAAATATGATTATTTTGCAGTGCATGCATCTCAAACTACTCCCGGACTCATGCCAGAGCCTGTGGATGAACAAAAACAAAAAACTCTACAAACCTGTCAGCTTATGTTACCACCACTAACAGAATCACAAATAATCCTGTATGTAAGGATTAGTATGATCATTGTCCAAATCTGACCTCTCATCTAGTAGGATTAATGGTTAATTAAACAATGGTTGCATGGTTGGCTACAAAGCTTTCTGTTTTTCTATAAAATTTTAGGTGTATACTGTATCTCATCCTGTAGTTTTGCTTAGTACTGTGTTCTGTGAACAAGTGTTCTGCCAGAGCAAAGGAAATTAATCAACAAACATGATGTTACTGCTAATCACACTATTGTCTCATTCTCCAGCATGTTAAAGATTGACCATGAACATGATTCTATCAAGTTCATTTCAAATGCAGAGGTTTGGTTAAACTGTTGCAATAAAAATTGATTTCAGTTTCCTGAATTCCTTTTGATCTGTTTACACTAAGGTTTGCTAAATGTAGCTCTGCTTCCTACTATTTGCATTGATTTGTTTTAGTAATAATGAGAAAAATGCTTGCTGGCTGCATGCAAAAAAAAATTGGATTTGGTAGTTTTCTGTGAACACATACTTTTCTACATGAGTGGCACAGGCTTCATGGAAAGACCCACAAAGTCACTTCACTATCACAGTTCACAGGACAAAAAGACCAAACCACAAGGACTCAAAAACAGGCAAGATAATGGCGGTTAATTGTAGTACAAAAGAGTTCAAAGAGTACAAAGATTGTAAGGCAAAATAACAGAGAAATTGCAGGTTCGCACAAGAATGACAGAGTCGCTCAGAAAAAAGCAAAGTCGGGCTATTTAATACACACATGAGGCAATAAAAGGAAGTGGAATCATCAGGGTAACAAGACACTGCTGAAAAAAATCAAGAACAAGACAGGAGGAGAAAAACTAAATACTAGACACAAGAGAGTGGTAAAATAACACAGGAAGTAACATAAAAGGGAAACTTTCTATACCTAACACTTACACAAAGAGTAGGTGACAAGATACAAGGAGGCTAGATTAACTCTGAGTAAAAAGAAACATAAATAACAACAAAACTCAGGATACAAAAGTAACAAGGCAAAGCATAGAGGCATATTATGTATACAAAAGAAAAGACACCCCTAAAAACCAGGAATTCCAAACATTAACTAATAGAGTACAACCAAAATATAAAATGGTAATAATAAACCAAAATTCAGAGGCAAGAAAACACCCCACAAAACATTGGGTCCAAAACACAGGAACACTACATTTCCAATGTCCAAGACATTTTTCATGGTGTATAAACAGCATTATTTAAGTGTCAGCACTCTGATCTACACCATTACTCCATGACCCAACCCTTCACTCAGTAGCTCCTTAGTAGGTCCTGTTTAAGAGACCAGTTCGAGTGACACCAGTGAGCTTCAGATTTTTCTAGCCACTTAATTTAAAAAAGTATTGTTGGGGAAGGTAAAAGTGCAAAACCGTATGTCCACATTTGAAGAAAGTCTGAAAATATGAAAAAACTATATATATTAATTCACAAAGAACACTCATAAACTTGTAGCTAACTGGAACATTCAACTGCACATGATAAAAAGCGAAGCAGGGGAGTATATATGCACAGAGCAATGACTGAATTGTCATGCATTTTAAAATAAAACAGGAAGTAACTTACACAAAATGCCAAATGCTGTATATTACAAAACAAATGCATGTTTTAAACTAACATTATCATGAAAATTAATAGCACCCTATTGCTTTAACTGTATCAAATAAAGATTTCTAGACAACAGGAGACATAACTACCAGCTTCAGATAAGTGAACACATTTTTCTTTCGCACTGTAAGAGCCTCTGTGCCTCTGTGACTGGAGGGGTTTGCTCCTGCTTCTGTGTTTAGACAAGCCTCATCAAGGATGTATGTTTTCCTGAAAAAACTCAGCATTCCAGCAGGACCATAACTCTGATTCACAGAGCAAAAGCCCAGAGAAAACATCTAAAGTCTGCTCTAGGCAACTGATGAAATACAGCATGACGATGAGAGCAAGCACAAAGATAACCATTTGACACGTTATCTTGTTAGCGGGCCATGACCGCATTTGACAAAAGGCCTCAAAAAACACCTCTCATTATTCCAGGGCTCATTCTTTTTTTCATTTTGTACTTATTCCTGTCTTATTGGTACTATAGCACACATTTTCACTATGGCTAACAATACATTAACCATTAACACCCAGCATGAAACTACACGGAGAGAAAATCTTTAGCTCTTAAAATGTGTCACCATCTTAATGCTTGCTCCCCTGCTATTTCCAGTGTCCCTGTTTAACAGCCTTATTTTTTCAGTCAGAGCTTGCAGTAGCACCCTCCTTGTTTTCCATTCAAAAGAAGAAACAGCTCGAAATGGGGGGGAAAAAATGACATCTTGCTTTTAAAGCCACATTTATATTTTTTAACAGTGCAATGCTTCATTATAAGCAGCTTAAGAATTCATAAGAGGATTCTTAGACTGACTGAAAAATAAATGTGCAGAGTTTCTTTTTCAGAGTGAATTCATGATCTACTTCCTGTACTTCTCATTTTCCTAAATGTATAAACTGTGAATTTCACAGAGAGTAGCAGGCACAATGTTTGATATTAAGCCGACTGCCTGATCAAAAAATTGCTTGGATTTGCTTAAAAATGTTTTGTACAAATGGTGTCAAAGTAATGTTGCTCACTGCCAGACTTTTGAAATCTGATTCTCAGCACACATCTACTCATTTCCTTAGCTACCTATCTAAATTCAGGGTCACGGAGCGGCTGGCGCCTATTCCAGCTGACATGGGCAAGAGGTGAGATACAGAAACACACAATCAACCTAGCATGCATGTGTTTGGACTGGAGCACCAAGAGAGAGAATAAAAAACCTGTTTTGACCCCAGAATCTCCTTTTTGTGAGAGTGTGAAGTGACAGTGATAGTGATAACTGTGCTCCCCAGTTAGCACACATGAAAGAAACGACTGCTTCTAAAGTACTGTGCAAAACTCTAGAGCCACTGCTCGTTTCTTTATATTTTAGTAGGAAAACAGGAAATAGCTGTAGCGATTTACTCAAACACTGGCAAAATCTGAGTTTGTGCGATTCTAACAAGCTCGAAAGAAAAGTATTTGGTATCACAACCTTTATTCTTCAACCAGTCTGAATTCCATTAGGTAAGTGTTTTTCACAGGCAAGTGAAATTTCTTACAAAGTCTTCAAGAATAGTACTCAAGGCTTCTTAAAGGACATTCAGAGCTCTTCTTTCGATGTTGGCTGCCATTTATTCTGTTCCCAATAAAGATGATCCCACACTTCTTCAATAATACTGAGGCCTGGGCTTTGGGAAAGCCAATCCATGACTGACCTCAGGAATTCGCATGATAAGGTGGGGCCAGGTTTCACAAAGAGCTCACCTGAAACCCTGGCTGATTGGGACCCACACCCAGTTTCACACCATCAGGGGGTCCTTTTGTCCCTCTGTGGGGGGACACTCCCACTAGGTTTAAATCTGGGACTCCCCACCATTTGACCTTAGAACTGAAGAAGCTTCTTGGATGAGAGGTGAAACATCTTCAAGCAACTTAAAGAAGTCCAGACGCTTTTCTTTGCAAGCTCCTTTGACCCCAATCCATGACTGATAGTGTTGTGTGTTTTTTCTATCCAGGTATGCACTTACTGCAGGGGCAGTGTGTTTGGGATCACTGTCATACTTGTAAATGAAGCCATTTCCAGATAGTATTGCATGGCAGATCCAAATTCTGATGGTACTTTTCTACACAACTCGATAATTTTTGACAAAATGCAGCCCAGAGCTGACATACAGCATTGCATTTTACAGATGCTTTACACACTCACTGTTGTACCTTTCTTCTGAAAATGTTCAAATTTGGATTTGTCACTCCATCAGACCTGCTGCCACTGATTTCAGTCCAGTTCTTATGTAACTGGGCAAACCTCATCCTGCTCTCTCTGTTTCCTTAAGAACATCTTACTGACAGCCAGACTCAATTTTTTCCCCCTATTTCTTAAGGACATGAAATACAGCTACTTTTAATTTGTTGTAGAGTTTTAGGTCTGTAGTGTTTAGGTCTCCCATTGCTTCTTTTGTCCTCCACTTGTCCAATTTCCTTACATTTGTTGAGGACATACTGCACACCATGCCAAGTTTTTGTCTAATATCTCAAGAAATGGTACAAAAATAGTTTATGTCAGTCATACTGTGCTATATTTGGCATTTTTTTAAATTAACCTAAAGAACTGGAAAGAAAATGCATAAAGATACATTTTTTTCTGTTATGCGTCATCACAGCAATAGTTTACCCTCAATTTAAGTGCCTTTCTAATGCCTGAATGAGTCATAGGTCGGTGTTAAGTGGCTTGAAAAACGTAAAACATTCCTCTGAAAATGGTCACTTATAGGGACTGGGCTAAAAATGAGTGCAAAAGCAGCCAATGGCCGAAGAAAAACTTTGAAAGACCTTCAAAAAAAAACCCTGGAGAATTGAGGATTCATCCCACGAACTTAGAAACTCGCAGTAAACATTTATTAACTTAATTTGGCTGAAATAAGTGTTTGTAGTGTCAATCTAGCCCTACAAAGTCTATAAAGACCACAAATAATGTGCTTGTTTCTGTGTAAGAGTTACATCTGGAATAAAGCCACTGAGGATCAACCGAGCTTAACAAAACTGTGCCAGACTAATCAGTGA